ACAACAAACAGACAATACTCTAAAACTCTTTTCTGTACACTACCAAACTGAAAATTCCAGGTAGATTACAGTCTGAAGCAGCAGCACACTGTTTTGAATCCTGCATGTCACAGACAAGCTCCCCTCTTGGTTCCACCCAGGGTGACTCTCATTTTTATTTCTGGTACAGGTGTGCTCAACACAGCATGTCTCCATGACCCAAGGGAAACTTCCAGGGGTCTCTGAATGGGGAGATATTTATTAGAACTTAAAAAATTATAAGCTTTTCAGAAATTCAGTTCTGCTTATCCTTTGTTTTAATAACAGAAATTACAAATAATTATCGTAGCTAAACCATTTAGAGTAATAAAAATAAACTCATAATTTTTTCTATTTATTAAGCATGAATAACATAATATATTTTGGTTAAGAAGTCACTTTAAAATATTTATTTCAAGATGCTCTTGAAGTAGTCTCGTCCACAAAATCCAGTGAAGGAATTCTAGTATTTTTGGTTGACAGATTAAGTAGTAAAATATTTGTAGTCATGTCATTGCTCATATTTCTATTTTTCTTCTCATGGATTCTGGAATAGTATCTAAACATTAGGTTCAGTTAAAATTTTATTATTTTTAGGTTTTGGTGTCTATGAACTGATAATATGCAGTTCTTTGTTATAGCTTTGTTGCTCTTCTTTGAGAATGCGTCAGATAAACATAAACAGGACACACAAACGCACACAAAGACACACACACACACACACACACACACACTCTTTCCTTAACAACATTTGAGTCTCAAAGGCACTACACTAGACAAATAAGGAAAATATTCTCTCACATCATGCTAGATAAAAATTCAAGAGTGGAATTCATAAATTAAATACAGAGTAGTGACTACAAAATTCCGTAAAACTAGAAAGCGACACCCTAACCAAAGCTCAACTGAAGCTCCATGAGGGTTTGACCAATGCCTGTTTATTTTCACTGCTGTTTCACAGCTGCCTGGCACAACAGTTAACATATGCATATTTGAAGAACAAATAAATGGATGACAAAACAAATGAGTATGTTAATGTAGGAATAAATGAATTGCTTTGCTAATTTTACCAATAAAATATTGGCAATTTGGAAAATCCTGATGCTAAACTGTAAAGAAAAGATTCTATAATTAACATATGCTTCAAAATCTCAAAGTAACTTAGTTTTTATTACTGAAGCAATGCTACTCCAATTGTTTTAGGATAACCAGAAAATACAGCATGCAAGAAGTAATAATCATCCAAATCTAAGAAATAAATATTGTTGAAATCTCGGAATGTCTTTTTCCACATTTACTTCTGCAAGTCTGTGAAAATCTAGGAAAGTTTTACTCTAATGTACATACGGGTTTTTGCAACGAGTTATTCCCAGATAAAATATATTATGGGCACATTTCCGTGTTCATAGAATTATCATTGACATCATTTTTAATGGTGCTATGTCAATTGAATTTTCGCTACTATCTTAATTTTTGAATCAGCTTTAAGTTAGTCATTATTATTATTATTATTTCAGATGGTTATTCACCCCATGACACACATTCTACTTTGGAGAATCATTCTGTTCCAAATTTATCCAAGATTTACTGTGGATGAAAAAAGCGAGTTCTAGACCCTTTTTGCCTTGCTTGTGGTGCAATGTACTGCTTGCATCTGTTGCTCTGACTCGAAAATCTCAGTAATGCCTGGAGCTTGAAAGGAGCTGGAGAGGAGACTGTGATCTTTGTTTTTCCTAAAATCTCTGTTAAAGAGAAAATGTCATTTGTTTTAGTTTATTAAGATGTAAAACGGCTATAAAATGTAATGTGTAAATATACATCATCGACAAGTGGCTTAATTGTCTTCCCTTAAAACATTTACTCAGTGGTCCCATATTAAAATATATTCTTCAGTAATAGTCAGTCTCCTTGGGAATACATGAAGCAGCATATTAGGAAATAAGATATATTTTACATGTGCATAACTATCTTTGTGAAGCAAATCCTCCTTGTAAGTTGAGATATTAACTGAAATAATTATAATAAAAATAACATTATGGATATGTTATGTTTTGTGTAAAAGCTGTAATCATAACTAAAGGGAAAAAAATCTTTACGTTAAGTTAAAATTCAGTAGACCAATTTGATTTTGCATGGATTAATTCTCTTGTTCTTTTTAAGGTGCTTTTATTTTCCCAATAGAAAGTGTGCTTTTAACCATAACAGTTACCTTGCAAATAAATATTTTTCAAAACTAAAGTAAATTCTCCACTCTGCTTGATTACAAAGCTTATTTAGTTCAGAGTAGTGTTGCAAATAGTCACTCACCCTTTGGTCCTGGAAAAGTAATGATTTATGCCAAGCACAAGGCAGGAAATATACTTAATTTATTCATTGCACAACCTATACACCACCTCAGGGTGGGGTGGTAGGGAAGGCTGGAAAAACATTGTGAGCTAATAAATTATTTCTCCTTGTTTGGAAGCCTGTCACTATGGTATACTGCTAGTAAAGCTTACAAATGATTTTTATTCTGGAGATGTTGATAAAAAAAGGAAAACATTGAGCTGTATGATTAAGCTCTGCCTATTTTTCTTTACAAAATTTCAATAGGAAGATGGATTATTAATTAGGCTTTCACCAGAAAATTGTGAGCAATGAATCTACATAAAAGTAATCCAAAATTTCCATGATTTTTTCTTTTTCTCAAATGTGAAAATTTGTTTTCCTGATTTCTGGACTGTCTTCATGTTAGTATTCTCCGCAAATGTCAACATTTGAATAAACTTCCCAGATCCTACTCCTAGACAGACGTCTACATGGTTGACATAATCCAGATAATTCATGCAAAAATACGCAAATAAAAAACTCTTCTTATTGCCTTTGTAACATTTTTATTTCTTTTTTCTTGACCTGAATTACCCCCATATTAGATCTCTGTAGAGCACCAATTCAAAAATAAATATTAACCCAACACTTTATTTTGTGTTGTGTAGACTTGGCAATGTACAGCCAATAAAAGCTACGTTACAGCATCTGAACACTCAATTTAACCCTGAAAATTTGCATTTATAATTGATGGTTATGTTTAGCTGATTAACAGTATAGAGAAACACTCTGAAGATTACCAGTGAATTCCACTTATTTTGTAAAATAAACCCTAAGTAAGACACTGGTTGAATTTCAATCTACTCGCGATGAGATGGATTATAAGGAATTTCATGTGTAGACTCCTAAATTAATTTCTCTAAAATAAGATAAACACCAAGAGGCAAAAAGTTAAAGAAATAAACTCAGCAAACATAATGACATAGTAAAAAGATTATTTGGTCATATTGAAATAGCTCAAGTGCTATTGCTGAATGTCTTGAAGCTTTCAAAGACAAGTAATTTAACATTACATACATTTAAGTTAAAAAAATTAAATGGGCCCATCGATGCTGATGATGCTGAATGAATCTCAGAATATTAAAGAATAATGTTGATGATGCTGAATGAACCTCAAAATATCAAACAAATTTAGCATTAAACAATTTAAGAAAAAATAAAAGGGCCCTCTGAAGAAATATTTTCCCTCAATGTTTGTGTCGTCTTATAATTTTTAAAATAAAATCCCCATGATAAAGGACTTCCTGCAATAAGAGTTAGTGAAATACAGTAATTAATATTTTCATATTTATTTATTGCATTTGATTTCATTTTAGATAGAAACAAAAATTTAAAATCCACTTTCTTCATTGTTACTGAAAACTTTAAATTTTATCATTGAAGTGAGAATGGGAAGACAGAAAAACCTACTCAAACATTCACTTTAACTGAATAAGTATTTCATTTGATCAAAAGTGATGAATGAAACTTTCGTTGCTGTTATTATTGATAACTTTGTGAATTATCGTAGATTTTGAGGGAAGAAATAAGAAAAGGAAGTCTAAATACAGAAGAAGCAGTAGGGTATAGTGACATGGGTATTGATTACAATCACTTAAATAAGACCTTTTCTAGACTTCCAACAAGCCACATACAGTGTTTTTCATTTATTCAGTGTACACATATTAAGCTTATAGCAAACACAATCCTGTGCAGGATGCTGTGGTTGATACAAAGGTGACTATGAATTTTATTTCTTTATAGCTCTCCTTTCTTCCAGAAATAATTTTAGGTGGTACAAAGACATAAAACACAGCCCTTATGGAAAATAATATGGAGGTTCCAAAAGAAATTAAAAAATAATTTCCCTTTTGGGTATATACCAAAAAGAAACGGAGTCTCCAGCAGTAAACATCCTACACTCTTGTATTCAGTGCAGTATTATTCACAATAGCCAAGATACAAAATCAACCTAAGTGGTCGTCATCAGACAAATGGACAAATAAACTGTGGGGTGTGTGTGTGTGCGTGTGTGTGGTGTTTATAGTGTGCATATGTATGGAATATTATTCAGCCTTAAAAAAGAAGGAGATCTTGTAATTTGCCACAGCATGGGTAACCTGGAGGACATATGTTACGTGAAATAAGCCAGACACAAAAATAAAAATATTGCACGATTTTCTACATGGTCTTTTTAAGTCGAATATGCAGAGATAGGCAATAAAACCATGGTTTCAAAAGTTGAGAGTGGCTGGAGAAAATGAGAAGATATAGCCTAAAGGAAATGTAACAGATATGTAGAACAAATGTTCTAAAGATCTAACATACCGTATAAAGACCATCATTATTATTTATAGCTACAGTGGACGGTATTCAGGACTTTTGCTAAATAGTCCAGATTATAGCTGCTTTGCCACAGAGGGGCAAATGGACAACTATGTGAGATGTTGAATGTGTTTATTTGCTTCACTATAGTAACCATCTTACTGTATATACGCATCTCAAAACATCATTTTGTATACCTTAAATATACACAATAAAATTTATTAAAACAAATAAAAAAAAAAACTCCAAGCAAAACAGAACCAACATAATGCTTGAAATATATATGTATATTTTTTGCATCTTTTCCTCACCTTATTCACATAGGATCCCAATTCTCTTTAAAAACATGAGGGTCGGGATTTTCGGCCCCAAGCAAGCAGGGAGAGGGGTGCTTCCCTGGAGGTTGGCCGATGGGTTCTGATGCTCTTAAAACAGCAGCAGGCGCCAATGGGGCAGCAAGGGCCAAAGTTGCAACAGCAGCGAGGGATGATTGTGCCTGCCCTAAGAGCCCTCGCAGATTGGCTCTCAGCTCCAGTGACGCTGCCCGATTCCACACCCCAAAAGACTTTTAATCACTGATGTAATGCTTAACTAATAGCAGCCTGGGTTTAGTCAACACACTACACCGTGAATGATTAGATTTTCAGAGCATTTTTTTTCTTGTTACTCTCCACAGCACCCACAACAATCAAGAACTCTTATTGACTCAAAGCGACCTGATTTAAATTAAATAATGATGGAGTCAATAGTTTGCTAATGGCTAACAGAAATGACAGGGATTGTTACTTTATTATTATTACTATTATTTCGGCCGGTGCTTTTGTTTCTCTCTTATTTGAAAATAAAGAAGATATAATGGGCATGAAAGAGAGAGAAACAAATTAGGCATTTGAATGCGCCTCCATGTTATAACCTGTCTTTTTGAAAATATAAATTCTTCTCACAAGAGCATATCTATGACTCATGTTAGACAAATTTTTATTTTGCTTTAGCATAATTGAACATCCCGAAAGCAGAGCAAAAACATATTACACGTAACGATTAGGTAGCAGTTCACCATTAACAAAAAGGTATGAGTGCAGGTAAGATGGCCTCAGGATGTCTTGAATATATTTACTTATTTTAACAGTCTAAGCTAAGGCAAACACAAACATGGTGAACTAAGCTGACCCTTCGGTAAGGTCATAGGTTCTCAGGAACATTCTAAATATCTTCATATATGTGCTTGTGCATATATCTAAAGATCTTTAGATATATGCACAAGCACATATATGGAAATCATCTTCTAAAATGACTTTGACTCCCAGAAATAAATAAGCATATATTTCCTATAATCTTTCAGACAAATCCACAGGTCTTCCTTGCTTATATTTGCCCCAGTCTAACTTTCTTTTGGCATATTTTCAATATAATTTGTCACTTCCACTCATTTATCTCACTCCTATATTCATATAGTTTTATATATGTGCCTTATTGCTAAGAACATTCAACTAATTACACAATAAGGTATTTCCTCATTCCTTTATTTATGTATCTGTTTCACAAAGGTCCACTGATGATATATTTCTTTTGTCTGAAACTAAAGCTAAATCACAACAAAGAGCCAAAGATGATTGAAACAAATTCTGTGGTGTTATACATTCCTAATCTCTGCCCAATACTAGTCCCCGTCTTTCTCCCTTTTTCCCCAGGCTTAGGATATTTGTCAGTTTCTTGACTTGAGATTGTGAGCCTACAGGGCAGATGTGATGTAGTGTTCCGTCATTCTGCATGGCTCAGAGCATGATGTTGGTGCTTACAGAAATGTGAAACATAATACCAATAATAATTGCATGCAATGCATTCAGAAAATGTTCATTAAATAACAGTTACGTAGTAGCCAGCTTTGTGTCTTCCTGCGAATACAGATCAGTGTGTGTGTGTGTGTGTGTGTGTGTGTGTGCGTGCACGCGCGCGCATGCGTGTCTGTATGTGAATGTGTGTGCAGGTATGTAAGTGTGTATCCAAATACACCCATCCCCACCCCACACACATAGATTTAGGAAAAATGCATAACCATTTCTCCTTTGTTTCTATATGCTGTTTTTACTGTCATACTGAAAACTAAGTCTCTAATCATTTCTTATACATTATCAAAATGCCATATATTTCAGCTGTGTGTCCAGCTTTGGGTAGACAGTATAGGAAAATAGAGGAAAAAATTCCTCTATTCAGGAATCAGCCCTGAATAGAGCCCGCTTTTTCAACATTAGTAAAAATAATTTCATCTTTATATTTTATTTTAGGTAACCAGATTTAATTAAAGTAAAAATAATCATGTTCTCATATAAATCATTTACCAATTAGTGAACAATAGTGAACTATAAAATGTTTCATGATGTTTAATTTTTATTTTTCTTATTAAATTCCTAGTGTGAATCACATGAGACACAAACACAAGTCTTCACGTGGGCCTTTAAACTATCTATGGGTAGTAAAACAAGATTATAATCGATCAGTGTTGTGCCAGTACATGACTTGATAGAATAAAATACAGCTAGTTTACAAAACCTGGAATGCATTAATTAGGACTTTATGATTTTGGAATGAAAACCACGCAGGTGGCATTACTCATATTCTTTATAGAATTTCTGTTTTTAAGATGATCTGAGATAGATATTTTTGAGGTTTCTTGCTATCTCTATAACAGTGAAAAGAAAATTGGGGCATTTTTTGTTGTTTTTTTAAATCTCTAAAAGGCAGCCCTGCCCTACTTTCACCTGAACATAACTTCACATTTTATTATCACATTCAGAACAAAGGCTGCTGCACATGAAGTTTCAATTGCTCCAACGAAAATCCATCTGATGCTGTATGGTTCTGTACTAAACAGATCCTAATTTGGTCTGAAAAGAAAATTAAATCCAAGCAAGAATTCAGAAAGAAAAACAAAGAAACTAGGATTTCTTTTGTATCCTCTAGGGAAAAAAAAAATGTTGGGCATGTGGAATATTACAAAGAATTAAGGCACAAAATGTGATTCCATCTTAAAGAAAAATAACGTTTAATGAGGACTTACTATGTAGAAGACATGGTTCTGAGTATCCTACATGAATCATTTCACGTAATTATCCAACAGTCCTACAATGCAGGTGTTATGTGCCCCAGAGTTACAATGGATGTAAGCATTTAAGACTCAGAGAGGTTACGTGACACATTTTTCTCACACAGTGACTAAGTAGTATAACAAACATTCAGATTTAGGCAAGTCGAATTTCTTTTCTTTTCTTTTCTTTTTTTTCCAATGTTGAGTCTCTGTCATTAGACTGGAGTGCACTGGAGCGATCTTGGATCTCGGCTCACTGCAAACTCCGCCTACCGGATTCAAATGATTCTCCTGCCTCAGCTTCCTGAGTAGCTGGGACTACGGGTGCACACCACCACACCTAGCTAATTTTTGTATTTTTAGTTAGACCCACGGGATTTCACCATGTAGGCCAGGATGCTCTCCATCTCTTGACCTCGTGATCTGCCTGCCTCAGCCTCCAAACGTGCTGGGATTACAGGAGTGAGCCAGGGGGCCTGGCTAAGGCAAGTTGAATTTCATCTGCACTTAACTATTTCAACTAATATTTTTGTATCAACTTAGCCAACAAGAGAAACTTAGTATTTATGAATATTATAGACAAAGCAAGATTTCAAAATCCTAAATGATTATTGGATATTTGGGGTAAGATATATGGTCTATTTTTCTTTTGCAATAAAATGCTGGCTAGTAAATCTAGCATAGAGCAAGGTAAGAAAGTTTAAATCCCTTCCTTTGGCTTTTTTAGCAGCTTCGGTAGAATAGTTCAAATGGCTGACTAAATTAAATTTTGGGAAGAATAGTGGTTCGGTTGATTGGCAAGCCTGTTTTCCATTGATATAGACAATTAAAATCTTATGCAAAAAGATTAAGTTTATTTTACAATGTTTCAGTTTCTGTTATACTAACCACAAGTTGATTTTTCCTGTCTTTTTTCCCTTTCATTTATAGACCATGGCCAGAAAGTATTCTGCTGCTTTGTTATATGTCAACAGCAACTGCAATTAGAAATATGTTGTAAGTCTACTACATGGTAATAGCATCCAAGACAAATCATAGCTGGGCTGCAGATGGCAGCTTCTCTTCAGAAAGGCATTCTTTCTTTTCTCAATGCAGTAACTGTTGCACTTCCCTAGTAGAAGAACCTGTATTGTGGAAATGATGTAAGTTCCACTATGGTTTGAGCACATAAGAGAAAAAAAAAGGTTAGTAAAATTTGAAATGGTTTGAAAAATAATTGTCTGCCAAAATACAATTTGCTTCTCAGAATTAAGAAAAAAAAAAAACAAAACTCCACCCATATTCACCATTCAAGCTCTTCCTTAGGACTTTCTTATATCCTTGCTTCACTTTCTGTATTTTAAATCTGATGGACTATCCCTGAATGCATTCAAGTCATATAAAGTACAGCCAAAGGCACAAATGATGAAAAGTTATACAAAACCAGGATATAACTCAGAATGAAAACAAGTTATATGAATGAAAGGGTTGCAACCTGAGTGTAATATTTGTTTCGTTTGATGTTTGATGAGCCAGTTCTTGTTGGTAGGGGCTTAGTTTCATTTCCTTGGCCTCAATCTTGGACTTATAGAAAATGTATGTCCCAGGCCGGGCATGGCAGCTCATGCCTGAAATCCCAGCACTTTGGGAGGCTGAGGCGGGTGGATCACCTGAGGTCAGGAGTTCGAGAGTAGCGTGATCCATCTGGTGAAACCCCGTCTCTACTAAACATACAAAAATTAGCCGGGCATGGTAGTATGTGCCTGTAATCCCAGCTACTTGGGAGGGTGAGACAGGTGACTCATTTGAACTCAGGAGGTGGAGGTTGCAGTAAGCCAAGATTGTGTCACTGCACTCCAGCTTGGGGACAGAGAGACTCCATCTCAAAAAAAATTATATATATGTCTCACAAGTTAGTTTGAGATCATTCTCATTCTCATTCCATGGAAAGACAATATAATGAAAAGTATCTGGGGTCTACCAGATAAAACATAAGCCTTCGTTATGACTGAAGGTCATTTGGGTACCAGGGTAAGTCAGCAGGTATCAAATGGAGCAACAGAGAGGTGGGGAGTCTCCATCTTCAGAGACAAATCTGGGCATACTTTTAAAATACTTAATTTGTGCTAGGAACCCTTCCACTACTTATTCTGTACCTCAGGTGGTCACTGTCTTTTTATTTCCCGCAAGTGTACTGCCCCTGAGGGTAGACCATCATCTAAGCGTTAACTATCTATCGAAATCTGCCCAGCCTTAAACTTACTAAATAAAAATAATTATAATGTTTGAAATCACAATGATAGCCATAAGAGATATTGACTGAGCAGTTTCTATGGAATATTTACTCTTCTGAAGGCTTCATAACTATTTGCCTACTTATTTCTTACCACAATTTTATGAGATACATAGTTTTAT